CCTTTAAGAGTGGATTTGGGAGGGGTAGGAGAGGAAAAAGAGTGATCCTTGCCCCCATATTTCCCCTATGTGCCTTCCCTGGAGATGAGGGTTCTGGGCTTCAGCTCTCAAGTGGATGGGGGTGCCTCTGTTGAAGCCCAAACTTGGTACTAAGGGGGAGTTTGCTTTAGGCAGCTCCCTGTTCAGCAGAGAAGGTTATCTGGATTGTCCTGAGGTATGTGGCTTTCCCCATGCTCGAGCATAGGGAGCCAATATGCCTAACTCTGGGCTTTGGTTTCCACACTAGAGTTGGGGGCCTGAAAGTTGGGCTTTGGGGTACCTAACAGGTGCACGTATCCTCCGTTAGATCCTTGCCTAAAACAGACTTTCACTCCCAGATGATAAACAGCTAGAGTTTACTTTGCTCTGTCGAGAACAAAATGTTATCACTAGTAAATCAGGAAATGTGCAGTTCAGGTTTCTCACATTTCTGAAAAAGATACCAGCATTAAGAGAGAGAGAAGTGCACAAACTTACTAAAACCCGTGTTGCGAGCTAATAATCTGGTTTATAAACCAAAGTAGTATCAGATTTGTATGCATGACAGATTCAAAAAGAAAGCTTTCTGTCATAAAGCAATTGAAGGGTGATGCATAAAGCTTCTAATTATAGTGGCTTTGCCAAAAGATTAGCTGGAAATGTTGCTGAATTAGATTTGTTTTCCTCTTCTACCAGCATGTTCAATTCCATTGTGTAAAATGCCATACTTCAAAAGAATGTTAATCCCCCCACACACGTTTTTGTTTTGTTTTACAGGGAAAATGGAAAGGATGTCAAAATTTCCTGGAAGGGAACCTGCTGATATGGTTGCATTAAACCTTGAAGAAAATGGAATGGATCAATGCCAGACTGAAGTGGAAACAGTATCTTAAATATGCCTTATAAGTAGCTTTGCCTGAATAAACAAACATGCTAGTTTTGCTGTTACACTGACTTTGAATAGACTAAATACTGTACTTTTAATAAAAATAGGTGTGTTTATGAATGTGCCTGTAAAATTCATTCATAATCTCAGTCCAGATGCTTTTTTATTATTTTGGAAGGTATATTATACAATTGGGTATTGCCACACCTGATTTGATTTTTATAGGATTTGAATCTGGCATGGCAGCAACTTCTTGGAGCAGCTGAATGAGTTTTGCATGCAAGAATAATGAAGGGGTTACACTGTGCTTTTGCCACAAAGTCAGTCTATGTAGTCTTCCTAGATGTGAGAGAAATTCTTATACAAATGGTAATTGTATATGACCCACATTACCCCTTTGCAGTTACTCTTTACTAGTGGTATGAATTTTTTCCCCCTCTATCTAGAAAGCTAGGGTAGCTTGTCTTACCCATGGAAACCTTTGTAACCTCTCAGATCTATTTCTGGTCAGTCTCATAAGTGACTTCTTTCCATATTATATTTGAGGCAGATTTTTATTTGTGCACCAGATGAAGCACACATAGCACCAAATGCTTACACTTGTTTTGTAACCACTTTTAATTATGTGATAAAAGCCACATTTGTTTTAGTTGTTAGCCATCTGGCATATACTACATTTCTTATTGAGCATAGTCAGCCTGTACACACTACAAGTGTCTCCTATATAGCTTTAGTTTTGTGCATGTCCTTAAGTTTGAATAAAAGTGCTTGTTAACTCAGTTCCAGTTAGCAGCAAAAGAATAACTAATACCAGCTTAGCATTCTCCATGCTCTCCTTCTTATCAAGCACGAACTAAACTGTAAGGGGAAGTTCATTAACCTAAAACTGTTTTATGTCTGGCTGATAGGAAAAAATGTCAAATTTTAAACTATTGTCCTAAGGCCCTACTAATCCTCCATCAGAACATGCTAGGGGAATCTATTGACTATAAGTGATTTCTTAGACTCAGCAAAATGTGAAGCCAGTGTGGAGTTTAGGCATAAGCTGGTGAACCAATTCTGTCCCCGTATACTGCATAGATGCATGGAGAAGTTTGGTTTTATGCAGTAACTTGTAGTATGACAAATTCTATTAAACAGCAACATCTTTATATAGGTTGCCTGTTACAAATGTATGTAGCCCATAAATGGGGTAATGTGTTAATAACTAAACACTAACATAAATCAGTAGCACAAGTTTTAAATCCAGTCCAGCAACTACAGTAAGAAACTGCATTAAACAGCTAGGTTGTGTCTGTGTGCAGACATTTCGTGCAATGATAATAAGGCTAATTAAAGTCTGTTGCTCATCCTGCAAGCTATCAAATGAGCATGCTAGTTGTTCCAGCACATACATTCTTGGCACTGAATTGATAGCTAGACTCAGATTCAGGGCATTTTTCTCTACCCCTACTCCATCAAGAGAAATTTATCACAGATGTACCAGGTAGTAGTTGGGGTATGCATACTTGGACAATCTCCAGATCCAAGAGGCTTGGTTTCTCCAGGATACAACTCTCTGTGAAGATACCAAAAATATTAAGTGATTGAGTTGGCTTGAATAGCATTTCAGCCTATTCTACAGGACTCCACAGAGCAGGTCCTAAGCCACAATACCTTTTCAGCGTATTAGATAAACAAGGAACCTGCTCATCACCATAGTGCTAGGAGGTGCAATCTGGTATAGTGTTGACAACACAAGATAACTCTTGTTGTTATGTACCTCTCAGGAGTCAGCGGTGATGGAGCAGACTTCCCGAACAGAAACTCCGTTCCCAGCCCAGGTCTCTAAAGAGCTTGTACATCAAGCCAGCACTTTACCGATAGGGAAAGCTCATTATAGCCACGCCTGCAACCAAAGAAGATATGAAGTGTCCAATCTCTTGTTCCAAGTGAGGCATGAACCTGGGATTATTACAGGAGGGGTATACAAAGTCAGATGAGTTGCAGCCACATTGCCTCCAGTAGTACAGCCAGCTAAGCCAACAGATCTCAAGATGTCTATTCAGCCTCCCGTGCCACTAACTCTGTCCAAAAAGAAAAAAAAATACAAAACCCAGGTCAGACTCTTCATCCAAACAAAGCCACTACATTTGATAGCTTAGATGTTGGCTGGCTGCATGCTCCAAACACAGGTTGTAGTAGTCTCTTAGGAGTGCAAAGTAGTAGCAAGTTCTTCATGGGGAAGGTTTATTCCTCTAAATGAAAGAGGTTTTCAGTCAGTGTGAGTCAGCATAACTTTAACATGTTGCAGGGTCGCATCTAAAAAAAATGTTGACTATCTGGCATTTGAAACTTCTCTCATTCAGTTCCATCCAAGTCCACCTGTTGCACCCTTTTGTGCTGCTCTCCACAAAATACATGCAGCTCTCACCCAATGTTTTCCCACTTTCTGAAGGAATAACTAAGATCAGCAGAAACCAAGACACTGCATCTGAGCTGTTTTGTATTATCCATGCAACCAACACAGTGCTTTAGTGAATCCCTTAATGCAGTGTTTCTCAACCCATGGGCTGCAACCCAAAAGTGGGTCACAACTACACAAAAAAGGGTCACACAAAAACTTCAAAAATAAATTAAACTTTAAAAGTGGATTCTGCTTTAAAGGAGAAAAGCATGGGAAACCATGGGTTTTCCCTTGCAGGCTGGCAGAGTTCCAGCCTGAGAGGGGCAGCTTGGGGCTGGGGGAAGTGGGAGGAGGGCAATCAGATGGGGGACACTACAATGCATATGTGTGTGCACACATGCATGTGATAGCCAGGCAGCATGGAGAGTATCTCCCATAGCTCCCCACAGGTAAGTCTATGGGGCAGAAGGGGGTGGGGGGACATAGACAATACATCAGGGAGGTAGGGGGAGCACAAGTGACACATCAGAGGGGCATGGGGGGGCACATGCCCCCCCAGATTTGTACACTGACAGCAGGCACAGGACTGCAGCTTGGCTGGACTGGCATGGGCAGGAGTCACCTCTGCAGCCCAGGGGGCAGGACCTGGTGTGGGAGAGTAGAGTGGGGTGGTGAGACTAGTTGCTGCCACCACCACTGGGACCCACACACCAGCTATGCTGCCAACAGCATGATGATTAATGGATTGGGTGGCTACATTGCCCTCACCTCTTGCTGCCAGCCACCGGGCCATGGCTCTACCCCATCACCATGGCCTGGCCATTCCCACCACAGCTCCTCTCAGGCTGCAGCTCTACCCTAGAGGGGGGGAACACAGGAGTCCCAGTGGTGGTGGCAGCAGCAGCAATGACTTCCACAGTCTCACCACCCTATGCTGTCCTCCCACACCGAGTTCCACCAGGGCAGCTCCTGCCCTTGCTGGTCTGGCCAGCCCCTTGCCTACAGCCCCTTGCCTGCTGTGGGTGCACAAATCTGAGGAGATATACCCACCCATCCCCGCTGGCCCCACACACATGCCGCCCCCTACCCCACACACTAGGAGGTTAGGGCCTGTGGGCAGCAAATCAGGAGTGAGAGGCACCAGCAGGGCTGGGAGGGGGTGGGGAGCTGTGGCTTGAGAGTGATAGGGCCAGGGGGCTATTTTCTACTTAAACTATGTACTGGGCAGGAACTGGCCATCAACATTTACAAATGGGTTCTGGTACTGAAAAAGTTATGAACCACTGCCTTGATGCACTTTATACCAGCCTTCAGATGGCCTTTCCACTTGTAATGGTCATTACTGCAGCT